TATATATATATATACTGAACAGAAATGTACAGTATACTATTTCAATTTTTCTTTCCAACTCTATAGTGTATACGAACAGGTTCATCTGGTCAAAGAGTGGATAAAAAGGATTGGGAAGATAGTGGAGGGTCTTAAATTAGTTAAAAGTGTTTCAGCTGGCAGGGACTTCATGATAGCAATGATTTTTAACTAAGTGAGGCCAGTCAGCTTTACCTTAGCAAAACTCACCTATGTTTGGGACTGTGGTACTCTTAATACCCAGAAGGTTCTTCCGGGGGTGGATGAGATTTGAAAACTAATGAAAGACACAAATTTTAACCAATATTAGGAAGCAAGCCATCAAGCTGCCCCCTGCTCCTGTACAACGAAAAATAGAAGTAGTTCAGGGAAGAGCGTCCCCCCGCCAAGGTTTTCTTTGCAATGTTAGGTTATTAATGGATTCATTTCAAGGAAAGGTCTCCTGTATGAATTAAAATTTAATATTGGAGGAGACCTTCTGTAGTCTTTCCACATGAAACTCGGGCTTGGCCTGTAGTTTAAATATGGGCAGTTTGGGGGTGGGTGATCTGAGCACCAACAAGAGGATGGTGACTAGGAAAGCATGTTGGTAAATATAAGATGGCCAGCTGGATTCTAAATTACGGGAGTAGAACACTCCGAGGCAAGTCAGCACTACATATCAGCAGCTGTCTTTCCCTGGATTTCCAGGTGTCTTCACTTAGCCTCATTCAAACCGAAGGTCTTATGTAAGAGTCGTTTTTCTGTGGCCCTCCTCCAAACCCATCTCACACATCCCTCCACTATTTGACACCCCGCTCCAAACGCTAGCTGGGGTTTCCCTCCTTTTCCCTGGAGATTTCCCTCTGCGAGTCCCGGTTGTCGCCCTCGCCCCCTTGCCCTCCCCTGCTCGGTGGCGGTTACTTGGCTGCTCAGCCGCTCGCCGTCCGCCGCCCCTGCGTCGCCAGCCCAAAGTAACGACGCCATAGCTGCGATCGCTGCTCCCGCCCCCAGCACGTGCTTCCACCCAGGCTCGAGGCAGGGCCCAGCCCCACTCCGTGGCCAATCGGCTTGCTCCGGGGGCAGGCCTAAACCCCCGACCACCCGCTGCGCCGCGCGCAAGCGCGCTGGCTCAGACGAGAATGGGCTGGAAGTACAGGGGAGAGGGGAGAAAGGAGAGAGGTCGCTAGGGACGCGAGCTGGAGGAGTCCAAGAGCTGTACTGATCCGCAAGGATTGGGATCCGCGCCAAGTTTTGGAAAACAGGAAGGAGGCACTGTTGTCAATCGCGGCCAGCTACTGGCCACTGTACAGTCAGCCAACAGCTGGAGACTCTTAGGTGGCAGCTGCATTTCTACTGATCCGAGCGAATCGCATAGGAAAGTCGAGGGACAATTGGGTTTGATCTGATGAAAGCACTGAATGCACAAGTTGAGAAAAAAGGGCAGAGATCAGATGCTAACTACTACTGTGCTTGCCCTAGGTACCAGTACCAGTGCTGTTTCCCCACAACAGCTCGTTTTAATTTTTACTCTGAGATGTCCTTTGCTAAAGCAACCCTGAAAAAACTTTTTGTTCCAGAGTATCTATCTGCTGCATGTATTTGCACAATGCAGGATAGCTCCCTGGTTACTGATGACTACTAAATTTGGACAAAAAATTCAGATTTTTTCCTCTCTTAACCAGAGTTTTGAGAGTTGAGTCAGCATCTTCTGGAACTGGGAACCAACCTACTCACAAAACCCCACAAACAGTAGTGATTCTCTCTCCGTGGTGCTGAAGCAACACTCCCCATCCTGTTCCGTCAGTCAGGGCTCTTCAGTATTTTGTTTCAAGGTTATAACATTTCCTTTTTAGCCTTTACGTTTGCATTCTAATAATAAACGTCTTTGTCTCTGGTCACTTTTTACTATTTAGGTACAAAGTCGGGCCAGGACCTTCAGTCTTCTAATTTTGCTGTAAGTTTAGCAGACATTTGAAAGTTAGCTCTTCTCTATTTATTATTTTAGCACATCACTAGACATTCTTTTTCTGTCTTTGTACTATCACAAGCTCCAGATCTTGTCCAGAAATCTGTGGCTGCCTTGGAGACCCTCGGGGTGGCAGATTCGGCTTCAAGACTGCACTCCTCCTCGGAACTACATTTCCCACAACTGTGCGCGGCGCCTCCCGTGAGGCCTCGCGAGTGCGAGCGCCAGCAACAACTTCCTGCTTCGCGGAAGACTGCGAGGCCAGAGGACGCTAAGGTAAGTGTGGTCCTCCCACTAACCATGTGCAGATAGATTTGTTGCTGAATAATTATTTCCCCCGACCCTCCCTTTCCTTACTTTGGTCTTTTCAGGAAAGCGCTGATGTATGGAAGTGGGACGTGCATAAGACCGTTTTGCTTTTATGCTTGGTACTTCTGGAAGAAAGTCGCATCAGCAGGGTCTTAATTCAACTCAGCAGCCTAGGGGGTCCTTGGACTGGAGTTAAATCTCTGCTGCACAAGAATTGTGTGCTCAAAAAACTACAAATGAAGTCGGGAGCCCAGTATTATGTGGGAGGGAGAGGAGGTGTGGTAGCAATTTTCAGATTTTGGGGATTGCTTTACGCGCCGTAATTGCTTTTTCAATATTAGTGATCATAGTCTTTTTTTTATTGTTGTTAATTTTATTGGTATATTTTAGATATACATAATAACCACATTTATCATAGGGATTTTGTACCTATACATGATTGATGTCACTCTTAAGCCTTTATCATGAGGAATGCTATTGATGCCATTCCACTCGTTCCTTATTTTTGAGATTGACTCCCCTTTTTTAAACTTCAGAAGGTGTTAAATATCAGGTTATGTTGTTTTATAGTGCTTAGTACAAACGATTTCCCCCCTTGTGGTGATTTGGCGGTCTCCTCTGTGTGCCATGTGTCCATCTGGAAACTACTGCACCTCTCTGAGAAAAATATGGTGTGCTGGAGGAAGCACTGCTTTTGGTCTTGGCCTTAAGTTCTTTTTACCAAAAATTTACCTCACCAATCTTACAATCTGGCCTAATTCTTCAGCTGAAATGGGGGTTCAACTAGGATAACTCTGGGAATTTTTGATTTTTGTAATTTGAACTTTGAGACCTAAAGAAGACAAATTCACTTATGGTTAAAAAAAAAAAACAAAAAACATAATTTTTAATTTTGAAGAACTGAGTTGTAAAAACATTACCGAGTCGTTTTAATTTTTCCATGTTGTTTGCATAATACATGGTTTATAACTTGTTTGCTTCACTTAATTTGCGTCTTTCCACATTAGTTTCCATGTCATTTTAAAGAGACATCTACTGTTGGGGACAGATTGCAGCTTTTACGTTTCTGAAGTGAATATATCCTACACATATCTGAGTCATTGATTACCTCTTTCTGATAAATGCCTAACAAACTGGGTGAATGCATTATGTAGACTCAAATATAAAATATGTATTTTAGCAGATAGTAATGGTCATTCATGTTGCACTTTTTAAAAAAAGTAATTTCTGCTATCCCCCCTACAGACCTCAGTTAAAACTATTAATTTCAATTTTAGATATTCCTCAAATTAGAACTATCAAAAACGTAAGTTGTAGAGTAAGGTGATCTGAATTACTTTCGATCTGCAACAGTCTGGATTAATTTTATCTATGTTTGTATGTGATTCCAGATGTTAGTATTCTGAAACTATGTTGTAGGGCAGGAACAACCTTCCAAGTGACAGGCATAATTCCAAAGAAAATCTGTAACAAACTCTACAAAGTACAGTAATCCAGAATTGACAACTAGAGTTTACTACCAAACTATCTCAAATAAAGCTTGGGTTAGAATCCTGTGTCACATTTTGAGGCATGTATTAAAAAACATTTTACTGCTTCCATAATGGAGATCTTTGCTATTATATTTCTTTCTTTTAGGATTTTATGGAAAAGGTTCCTTTTTTTGGCGGGGGGTACCAGGAATTAAACTTGGGTCCTTGCGCTTGTGGAGGCAGGCACTGGAACCACTGAGCTAAATCCCCGGCCCTGGAAAAGGTTTTTGTTCCTTCCCTTTGGCTCATTAGATGATGAGAGAGCAATGGAGTGTATGACCAGAGGCAGAATCACAGTCTAGGTTTGAGATTACCTTACTTTGGGAAGCATTTGCTAAAAATAAGGTTCAAACTCATGAGTTTCCAAAAAATTCTTTAATAAATAAGCTTAATGCCCACCAATTTTAAAACAACACTAAAACAGTAGGTTACACTGACTCAAGGTAAAAAGACTTTCAAACACAAATGGTGCTTACTAATTTGACAAAATACAAAAACCAGATAGATTTTTCTTTCTCTGGCATGATTTTTTCTTGTAATTCCTGTATTTGGGAGTGGTAATTTGGAAGTTAAGTAGTATCTGATATGATACAGCAGGGGAACACAAATGGTGGGTGTTTCTATTTAAAAGGAGCCAGATAAAGAAACAGGACATCCTAAACAATTCTGTAGGAGACAGGTGAAAAAAGACTTATGAAGGAGAAAAAGGAAAGGGAAGCTTCCTGGGCATGTCACCATTTGCAAGGTCACAGCGAACACCCCAACGAATGGCGTATCTTTTTTTCTCAGTTGGTACTATGTAATTGTTTGGAACATACACATGTTGAGGCTTGGACTGGGGTTCTGCTCGGGAAAGAAATCTTTCTCGGATACCCCACCGTACCTCCTTTCTATGATCTTCACCAGGCAACCGCATTGAGTCCCAGTCCTTTTTGTATTCAAAATATCGGGCTACCCGGTCTATCTTGCCCCGATTTCGGCTTAACTGGTCCAGCCTTGGGAGAATAAAGGACTTGGGTCTGCTGGCAACAATCAGGTCTTGTTCATAAGCTGGAGGGCCCATTCCCTCTTTTTGTAGATAGCAAATGAACTGATCTTGTGAAATTCCTTGGTATTCATGTGGTTGATTAAATTTTCGTGAAATATCCACTGGGGACTCCCTGTCTTCCTGGAACTGCAAATTCATCAGCCTATGTTTTAAGTCCGAGAGATCTGCATCACTTTCTGTGTCACATTCTGATTCACTGATAATTGATTCATCTGTCACTAATACTTCCCCATCTGGCTTTCTACGAAGCACCTTTCTCTTCATCACTGGCTTTCGGAGTCTTTGAGAGGCCTCTGAGACTGTTTGTGAAGTGACAGGACTTTCTACATGTGGGTACTGCAGTTGCACAGGAAGAGCAGGTTGCTTCCCTGAAGCTACCGAAGCTTTACTGTAGGGGTCATACTGGATAGACTGGGCTTCTCTCCTGAGGTCTCCTTCATCCTGCACTGCACAGATATGGGCAAAAGATGTGGCAGCAGCTAACATTCTTTCTTCTGGATCCATATTGGCCCATTTTTGTCTATCGGGTCCTATAAGTTGCTCCATTGCTTCCCCAAAACTGTAAGACTGTCTGCAAGAGATAACATTAGTCAGTTTTCTGATAAATTTCTAGCTCAAAAACTGCTCATTCCTTATTTCAATTTCAGAGTCAAGTGGTATAAGAATGGTTAAACCAATTATTACTCAATAATTATAATAGATGAGTATAGGTTAGTATCAGGACGGTTTAAGAGGGTCATTAACTCAGCTCTGTACCTGCTTTATTTCTACTCTCATCCACTCCCACTTTTTATCGCCTTTCTGCATTTAGTATTTCCTATGACAAGATGAGTTCTGGTATAAAACCTAAGACCACATGTTATGGGATAGGCTACTTAGTGTATATTATATAATGAGTTTAGAGGGTACTTTATGTACCTGGCATTATTCTATGTGCTTAATATTTATTGTCATGTAATCATCACAACTGTGGGATTAGTTCCCTTTTACAGATGAGTAACATGAGGCATAGAGAAGTTATTACCTTGTCAAAGTTACAGATGATAAGTAGTAGAGCTGGATTCTAAACTCAGGCAGTCTGATTTCAGACTGAGTCCTTGCTTTTAATTATAAGTGTGGCTTAACCTAAACAACCATCAAAAAAGCAGTGTTGTGCTAGCATATTTACACATATATCTGTAGGCATACATATACTGCCTGTGCTTCAGTAATTTCAACATATCTTCCCATCTAGATAAATCTCTTCATTCTAGTAGCCTACCCTAGAAGTAACTATTAAACCAAAATCAACTACTAAAATAGCCAGTGTTAGATTTTTACTGGATGTGAGATTGGTATCTATTGCCCACCTCTCTTATGTGTCCCTACTATTTTAAGCACATTTCTCCTCCTTGACCAAGTTTCAATCTCAAAGGCAGTTTCATATGACTTCCCTGTAATTTTCCCTATTCACATGTACAAAGAATTAGTATAAAACTCTTCTGAACCTTAGAGATAATCATGGTGACCCAGCACAAGTACATTTAACATCATATTGTTTAATGCCATGTCAAATTCCAGGGAGTAGATATACCATAATATATTCAGCCAGTTCCTTACTGACATAATTTAGGTTTATAGTCACTTGTGAAAAACCAATGAAGGGCCAGGGATTTAGCTGCTGTCTGCCCCTCAAGTGCAAGGATCCAAGTTCAATCCTGGGTACCAATTAAAAAAAAAAAAAAAAAACCAATGAAGATCTTGTAGGTTTTTACATACTTATACAAGCATACTGTGTAGATTGAGTTTCTGGACATGGAATAGATACAGGGGTCAGAAGGTGTGTGCATATTCAGTTTTGATAGCTATTGCTAAGATGCTTACCTGTAAAGTTGGAGCAACAATACATTAATAGAGTTTAGTTCTCTCTATCCCCTCTCCAAAATACCGTACTATCAAATTTTCTCATCTTTGCAATCAGTTATGAAAAATTGTTCTTATATACTTTGTTTAACTTGAGTAAAACTGACATCTTTTTATTTGTAAGCTTTTTCCTTTTTTGTGAAATGGTTGATCTAGCTCATATACCTCTTAGGTTGGACTTTTACTGATGTTTTTGTTAAAACTGATTTATATATTCATGAAATACATATATATGTATATATAATTAGCCTTTTGCCATCCATCATTTTTACCTCTCAGTCTGTTTATCTTTTGACTTTATTTTTTGCTGGTAGGAGTTTTTATTTTTAGGTATTCACATTTTTTGGTTTTCTATAGTTTCTGAGATTCCAAGTCCTTTACTTAGAAAAGGCTTTCCCACTCCAGTATTACAGGAAAGAGTCTACACACCGAAAAATCAAAGGGTCCAAAAATGAACTACCTAAATTTAGATACTATAGTCTTACAATAGATATGGAGATATCTTCTATAAGTAGTCATCAGTAACAGATTGCCTAGGACAGTTCTAATCTTAAGGATGTGGTATAGTTGTCCCCAGATTATTGAAACACTATATAGCAGGAATTACAACATGGCTATCTAAACTGCATCATCAAACTGACTTTTGTAACTATTATACAAAATCTTGTCAGAACATTAAATTTGGCTTAAAAAGATAAATAATGCTTAATTACCTTTTTTCTGCCATCACAACTGCTTAATATAAGAAAGTCTTATCTTCAGGTTCTACTTTTAATGTGAAATATAAACATTGGTAATATTTCTTCAGTTAGGCTAGCTTCTATCGTACCACCTTTAAATAGAATATTAGATGACAGTCATACATACAGAATATCTGATACTGAAAAGCAGTAGAAACTCAGTTATAAGCAGCCCAAAGAAAGAACTCATTATTAGAAAAGTTGAACAAATATAATGAGACATCAAAAGGAAATCTAAGGAAAATATCAGTAACATGTTATAGGGAGTAGGGAGGGGAATGTTGCCAGAACCTCTGCTGTGGGTCCTGGCCTCCTGTGAACCACTACAGGCCAAGGCAAAGAATAAAGACAGGAGACTAGACTTACAGTGAAGCTGAGTCTTGGGGCTGATCATGTCAGTGCTCCTGATGGCAGCAAAGACAGAGGTCCCCAAGCACATCCAGTATTTACTGAATAGAATCATGGGAAGGAATAGGGATCTGGGTATGCTTTGAAGGCATCTAGTGAAATACTGCTGAACACCTGGCATGATGGTGCCAAGCAGGGCTATTAGGGAGTAATTGCTTATCTTGCTTGGGTAGAACAAACCAGCACTGGGACCAGGTGTAGTTAGCAAGCAACTCATTGGATCAGTGAGAAGCCATAATTCAAGGTAAAGGATTTTAATTGGGGTCACACTGACCTCAGCTACTTGTACCCAGCAGAGTCCCACCACTTCACAAACCAGCACCTAAATTTCCATAGCAGCCAATGGGGGAGGGGCTATACTCACTCATTCCTCCATCTGACATGCCCATTTGAATTACAGAGCTTTAGTCTGACTCCTGCTTTAAAAGAATATAGCTGAATTACAGAGAGCAAGAAGCAGGTGCCATTCATAGCACGCTAGTACTGGGCAGGGATGTCTGCTATAACTTGAGACCTCGATCATCTGTTGAATGAAGACTAATAAAGTGAAATCTATAGGTATTCTCAAATTTTAAAAAGAAACTTAATAGGTAAATATTCTTTCTTTTCACCTATGAATTGGTCAGATAAGATTACAAGCATACTATTGGTGGATGATCAACACATAAACTATTGTTTATATTACTAGGCAAGCATAATTCTACACTCCAGCATCAAATCCCATGCTATTTGAACATAACATTATCAAAGGAACTAACCTGAAATTGTATTTTGCTATCTTTTCAAGAACTGTATGATTCGCCAATTCTTGGGGCTGTCATACCATGGCTGAATCAGACACTGACAGAAACCAGATTGAAAAACTCCTAAACAGAATACAAGAACTGGAGCAGGAAGTACAAAGACTTAAAAAAGAACAACCCAACAACATCAAAGACCCAAACGTTAAAGAAAATTCTTCAGGATCTGGAAAAGCTAAGCGTGCCTTTGATTTCAGTGCCCACAGCCGAAGACATGTAGCTCTAAGAATAGCCTATCTGGGCTGGGGATACCAGGGCTTTGCTAGTCAGGAAAACACAGACAATACCATTGAAGAGAAACTATTTGAGGCTCTGACCAAGACTCGACTGATAGAAAGCAGACAGACATCCAACTATCACCGGTGTGGGCGAACAGATAAAGGAGTTAGTGCCTTTGGACAGGTAAGGACTGCTATACTATTTCTCAAAGCAAGCAGTACCAGGACACCCAAGTATACATTCTGAGTACTGAGATTATTTGTACTATATCTCTAAAACTCGTTATCTTTCCCTAATTCCACAGGTGATTTCTCTTGACCTGCGGTCTCAGTTTCCAAGGGGCAAAGATTCAAAAGATCTTAATTTAAAAGATGAAGTCAGTGATGATGCCAAAGAGATCCGTTATACCCACATTCTTAATCGGGTACTCCCTCCAGACATCCGTGTACTGGCCTGGGCCCCTACAGAACCTAGCTTCAGTGCTAGGTTCAGCTGCCTTGAGCGTACTTACCGTTATTTTTTCCCTCGTGCCGATTTAGATATTGTAAGGATGAATTATGCAGCTCAGAAGTATATTGGCACTCATGATTTCAGGAACTTGTGTAAAATGGATGTAGCAAATGGAGTGATTAATTTTCAGAGGACTATTCTGTCTGCTCAAGTACAGCTAGTGGGGCAGAGCCTGGGTGAGGAGAAATGGCAAGAACCTTTCCAGTTATGTCAATTTGAAGTGACTGGGCAGGCATTCCTTTACCATCAAGTCCGATGTATGATGGCTATCCTCTTTCTGATTGGCCAAGGAATGGAGAAGCCAGAAGTTATTGATGAGTTGTTGAATATAGAGAAAAATCCCCAGAAGCCTCAATATAGGTAAGTTAAACTAAACCAAACTTTTCCCCCTCCCCAATTGGTTGATCAAATGACTCAGACATAAGTCATTAATCCTGACTTCATGAAGCTTTTAATCTAACTTGCAGTGTTAAGAACATGTGGGAAGGAGTAGTATCTTCTAATTTTCTCATTGTTTTACCATGATAGTAAGGAAATGTGTTTGGACAGGGCTTTTTAATTAAAAGGACATTCATTCTCATGTCCTTTTTAAAAAAATTTTTAGTTTATGTTAACAGCTATTATTAGCTTCTGGTGAAATTAATGAATATTCAAACTATATTAAATCTTTCTTATTTTGTATCACTGAATAGCCATATATTATTGTACTTTTGAATTTTTCCTAATTTCCCACTTCTAAAATGGTAGGAAAGGCAGCAAATAGGTTTTTCTTTTGAGAACAGGCTAAGCTTAGATAAATACATACCATTAACCGCTGAACAGTTTTCCATGAGTGTCACCTGGGCAGTACATTTGTTTTATGTACTGACTGTCCGAGCATTGCTTGGGAAAGTGTCATTTCAACCAGTTGATTGTTCCTGTTTTTGGGGGGTGGGGTTGAGACAGGGTCTTGCTGTGTAGTTGAGACTGACGTGGAACTCACTATGTAGCCCAGGCTGGTCTCAAACTCACAGCAATTCTCCTGCCTCAGCCGCCCGAGTGCTGGGATCACAGGCCTGCGCCACCATGCCCGGCTCAACCAGTTGATTCTTGTTTGCACGAGATATACTTGTATGTCTGTTTTACAGCAATTACTTTTGCAAATTAAAAAAATTTAGAATGTTGTATTAAGCCTTGATTTTTATTTCTAGTGAAATCTAGTAAGTTCTGGTTATTTTACTAAATCCCATTTATTTGTGAAAAATAACCCGTAGTTTTGTGCTATATCTATACACTCTTATCATAAGTACATTAGATATATTTTTATACTTCTCCAGAACTCACTGATATTCTTTTACAATATAAAACAGACACATCTGGGACACAGACTGAATTAGGAAGTTCCTAAAGAGCTACAAAAGAAAAAACTGAAAAAGGGAGAAAGGTTAGCATATCAATGAGAAAAAGTTTGTGTTATGAAATGGAAAGACAAAAAAAAATATTGTCAACTATCCAAATACAGAAATGACAGAACTTGAAATAGGAAACAAAACTAAAAAAATTTTAGTAGTGGTCAGTGATTATAATCCTATAGGTGGTGTTGACAGAGTTGACCAACATCTAACAAGATATTCTGTAATCAAATAGGAAAAAATACTATTACAAAGCATTTATGCACCTTCTGGATCAAACAATATGGAACTTGTTTGTTATTTATTCATAACAAGGGGGCTCAGAAAGTCATTTATAATATAGATTAGGTCTAGTACACAAATAATTGAAAAATATGGGATAATGAAATGCCAACCAGGATATTTAATAGGTAGGTGTTTTATAGAAATTATACCACCCACAGAAAAAAGGCCAAAATTACAGTACAAAGTGTGTTGTTCAAAGAAAGAAAATGCAAAAAGAATTCAGAAAGAGTCTAGGTACTACTGCCCAGATTATAAAATTGCTTTGTGTATTGAATGTTTTAAGATACACCGTGTACAAAACTTTTGAATAAATTTGATAAAAAGTCTCATTTTTTATATTTCCTGTTATTTTATAAAAACAAAAAATATGCAAGTATTTAAATAATTGGATTGGTAAGTGGTTAATTCATTACCAAGCTAAGAAAGTGTCACCAATAAGTATGGGTAATTACTATCAGCTGTTTTTGATTTTATAGCAACATGACAGACCTGTCATCTCACTTCTAGATTTGTTACTGCTGATATTTATAAGTCAAATTGACTCATGTTTTGTTGCATTTTTAAAAAATATAAAGTTGTTCACAAAGTTAAGCTTAGCTATTAGATAACTTAATATTGACATCAGTGGGTCTCCCTCTTCCTTTTTCTAACCCAGCTAAATCTCAGGATCTTAAGAACAATTGAGTAGTTAATGTATTTTCATACTGTTTTTTTCTCTTCCTAGTATGGCTGTAGAATTTCCTCTAATCTTGTATGACTGTAAGTTTGAAAATATCAAGTGGATCTATGATGAGGAGGTTCAGGAGTTCAATGTTACTCACCTACAGCAACTATGGGCTAATCATGCTGTCAAAAGTCACATGTTGTATAATATGCTGCAAGGACTGGACTCTGTTGTGTTACCCTGTAGAACAGGACCAAATGTGGATGGAACAATAGAATGGAGAAACATTAAGCCCTCTGTCATAAAGCAGACCAGTGCCTTTGTAGAAGGAGTGAAAATGCGCAAATACAGGCCCCTCATGGATCGCCCTAAATGCCAAGGATTAGAATCCCGGATCCAGCATTTTATTCGTAGAGGACGCATTGAGCACTCACATCTATTCCATAAGGAAGAAACAAAAGCTAAAAGGGATTGTCATGACACACTGGAAGAAGAGAATACTCTTTCAGAGAAATCGAAAAAGAAGGTCTGTGTGGATGGAGAAATTAAGAGCATCATTTAATCATAGCAAACTTACTGGGATCTAGGAAACACCTTAGTAATGTAGGTAAGTAAAAAAGAAATTTAAAAACAATTTCTTTACTGCAAGAAGTTATATAAATTCTGAAGATCCGCTCTTTTTTGGTACCAGGGATTGAACTCTGGACCTGTGCTTGCAAGGCAGGTGGCGGAACTACTGAGCTAAATCCCCTGGCCTTATCAGCTTTTTAGAAAAACTGTTAAGGCCAGATTAAGGAAGTTCTTAATTAAAAGACCAAGTTGGGTGTGGTGGTGCATGCCTACAATCCCAGCACTCAGGAGGCTGAGGCAGGACTGCTGTGGTTCTTACAGCTTAGGCTATATAATGAGTTCAAGGCCACTCTGAACTGTATAGTGAGACCCTGTCTCATAAAACAAAACCAAACAACAACAAAAATGAGAGACCAACATTTTCTCATTCCCATCCAAAGGATTAAGAGATGAAAAAAAGCAAAAAGCAGTTGTAATTTATGTACATCTGGGAACTTGTGCCTTGTGTTTAAATTCATTAAAACCTGATCTCAAAAGCGTCTAATTTGTTGTGCTATTCTCATCTGACTAATTACCATAAAGAGCTTTGCCTAAGTGTCTTATTTTCTAAGACAGAATTCATAAGTATATATTAAATTCAGTCAGTTAAGCATTGTTTAAATTGGTGTAGTGCCAGGCGTGATGCTACCTAGAGTATAACCGAAGCATTCCCCCCATATAGATCTAGTGCAGAAAATGGTAGGCAAATTAATTATTTTAGGCTCTGTAAAAAACAAATTATCTGCTGCATATTCTTTTTAACCATTTAGAAATGTAAAACTTAGCTCATGGACTAAAGTGTTTGCCAACCTCTGGATCTGTGGTTTAAGGACAGTTATTACAAAAAGACAGTCAAGCAAATCTTGCGGGACAACTGGGAACAAGTTAAAATGAGAATAAAGCATCAATTCATCAAAGGCAGTTGAGGTTTCTATAAAGGGTTAGAGATACAGCATATACGATATTCAACTATAAGTACTTTAGTATGGATTAAGTGACAAAAGCGTAGTTTAGAAAAAAAAAAAAAAAGCAAGGGTCACAACATTTGTAGACCTTGTATTTTCTTGTAAAAGCTTGGATTTTACCTGGAAAGGCCAGCGAAGAAAGTTTAAGTTAGGGCTGTGTAGCGAAAATAGTGCCTGGGCATACTGTAGATTGGAAATGGGCAAGACTAAGGGCAAGGCCACTAAAAAGGAGGCTGTTGGGATAATCAAGGCAATAGATAATGATGGCCCGGAGCAGATTTGTAATAAAGGGAATGGACAGAAGTAGATGAGATTAAGAAAACAGAAGCAGCAGGACTGTGGTTCAATATGGAGTACCAAAGTAGGAAGGTTTTCAGGATAACTTCTAGGTTTCAGACATGAGCACATGAATAGCTGGTGTACTACAGACCGAAGGAAAATGAGGTGGGGTTTTGCTTGTTCTCAAAGTAAAATTAAGTGGCGCACCCCTGTAATCCCAGCACTCAGGAGGCTGAGGCAGAGAATCGCTGTGAGTTTGAGACCAGCCTGGGCTGCATAGTGAGTTCCAGGTCAGTAACTACATAGTGAGACCCTGTCTCAAAAAAAAAAAAAAAAATAAAATAAAATTAATATTTATAAAGGTCTGTATTCAAAAGAGTTCCAAGTTCTTAATATATTGGTCTTTGTTACAAGATAATAAACATTAAAGCAAATTAACTGAGACTTCTGTTTCAGGAATAGTTCTTCAGTGTGTGGCTCACATTTATGATTATATACTGTTTCTGAGATCCAGAGTTTTATTTACCAACCAATGATGTCTGCTCCTATGTTCAAGACTCTAGAGCTACAAATACATATTCTATCAGCAAATTGCTATTTTAGTGTAATCACTGAGCATGGTAGAATACTTTTTCTTAATGTATAAGGACAAACCAGAGTTATTTTTTTCAATTTCTTACCTTATTTCAGTGTACCTTGATTGGCATTAATGTTCACATTAAAAACCTAGGAAAAAAAGTTTAAGAAATTGTTCCTCATTTTAAAAAGTCAACTGTAAAGCAATGATATACAGGATAAAAGGCACTTACTAAAAGCTGTATGTGCAATGATTCTGTAGAAGCAGGAGTTAGAGGGTCAGGGCCTTAGACTTCAAGTAAAATCCTTGTAAGACTGACTAGTAGTTTACACTATCAAATCTAGAACAGTGAGGATTTGGTGACTTCATTTTTGATAGTTACTAAAGGACATGTGTCACAGAGCAAATCCCTCAAGTATGTCTTTGTAGAATTACTTCTCAGAGTTCAGTGTTTGTACAAATTCCAAAGTCTGACTTATATTAGGAACTAAATAAATGTTAGAAGAAAAAAGTAAAGTATGGTTTAGACTTTACTTTCTCCATTTTTAAAATGAAAGGAATTATTTCAATAGGTTATCAAGTGAGTTTTATATATAAAAATAGTTCTTTGTAGGGACTCTGACCTAAGAAGTCTGACACTAAAGATTTTTTAATGGCATGTATATGATACCATAATCAAAGTATTCTTTCCTTTGTGTTTATGTCAGATTCTTATTTTTTTCCTTGAACATATGTAGAGATGTTTGCAAACAGTAAAATGCAGACTTTAAAAATGAGGCCCATAGGTCACTGTCAGTTCTTTTTTCTAATGTAAAAACAATCTTTCTCTTAGAAAATTTCACATAGAAGCTAGATCAACTTATGTTTTGTAGATGAAAATGGATATTAACCAAAATACCTAACAATATCTTTCCTTCAAAAATCTTAAGTCACTCAGTGTCCCAGGTTTAACTAGTTACATTTAAAGAATTTCCAAAGTGGAAGGGGAGAGATTTTAAATGCAGATAGGAGTTAGGTGCATAGATGGATTCTAAGCATGACAAGGAGGGTACTACAGAGTTATAATACATTTCTCTAGCATGGGACAGGTAAACAGGCAGCTCAAAGAATCACAGTATTGAAACAGCCTATCATAAAAGCAAACAACACTAATCAAGGTCGAAGACAAACTGGAGAAGCACTAGAAATATGTTTAAAATGCTAATTCAGATTACTTTTACAAAACTGTTAAAAGGTGCACAGCTATAATCCCACCATTCTTGGAAGCTGGGAAGGGAGGACCCAAGTTCAAATCTAACTTGAGCAATTTAGCTAGATTCTGTCCAAAATGCAAAATATAAAGGGGTGGAGTATATAGCTCAATGCAAAGGCCTTGGGTTTAGTCCCCATTTTGTGTGTGTGTGTGGGGGGGGGACATAATACTACCTAAATTAAGGGTAGTACAATTTTCTAGAGGGAGTTTGTAATTTTGAGTTAGAATTTAAATTGAGTCATAATTTAAAAACCATAATCCATTTCAATCATTTATTATAAGGAGTTACATTTGATAAGAATCCAGATATGTGTACAAATGACCACTAACATTTTATGATCAAGAAGAAATTGGAAACAACCTAAACAGCCATCATTAGGGGATTGGTTAAATAATGTATGGTACCATACAGCCATAGCAAGAAATACAATACAGTCATTAAGAAATGGTTAATCCACATCTACATTTGACAAACATGCTGTCAGTGTATTACTAGCTGCAAAAGGCATAATCTGCTTTTTAAAACTAATATCCTCATTATGTTAAAATATCCAATTAGTGCAAATACATTTTATAAGGATATTCATTTAAATAACATATTTAGTCACAATGAATATGAATATACCTTGAGTAAACCCAAATGTGAACACTTTATTTTAATGGTTATTTTTGGTTGGTGGACTTGCAAGTATTTTTTTCTCCTCAGGTGTGCTTAGTATTGTTTAGATTTATTTCTTTAAAAATACGTAAAAAAGTGCACACAAATGTCTACATTCTTGTCCAATATTATCTTCTTAGAATAAATTTCTAGAAGGGGATTATGGTTTAGAAATTATGGTACAATTTAAATTATAAGGCAAAATACAAACTGCCCCCTGGAAAAATTAATTGCTTAACATAATATAAAGATGCTTTTTTCATCACACTGTCAGCAGCACTGGGTATTGAAAAATCTTAATAATCTAAAAGGCATGTAATAGGTCGTGCCTGTAATCCCTGCACTCTTGAGAGGCTGAGGCAGGAAGATAGCAAAGTCGAATCCAGCCTCAGCAATTTTGTGTGACCTATAAAACTCAAAATTGTAAGATAATGTAAAGAAATAAAAAAGACGAGGGATGTAACACAGTGCAAAGGTTCTAGATTCGATCCCCAGTACCAAAAACAAAAACAAAAAACCCGTAATGTTTTTATTTTCACTAATTACGTTGTGAAACTTGGTAATAAAAAAAGACATGTTGGGCCGGGGATTTAGCTCCGTGGCACCGCGCCTGCCTCGCAAATTCAAGGACCTGAGTTCGATCTCCAGTAGTTAAAAAAAAAAAATGTTCACTTTGTGGTAGGACCACCTAAGGTCCGTCAATCTTACCTGCTCTCCAGTCGGCAAACGCCTCTCTCGCAGTTACGTTTAACGGAGCCCGGAAAGCAAAGCTTTGCTCCCCCTTGGAGTAACCGCAAACGGTCTCCCCACCTGGCCTCTGGCGGCCCAGGGCCGCGGGCTCCTCCCCTGGGAACCTGTCCTCAGCCTGCGCCTGGCCTCGCGGGGCCCGGGGCGCTCTCAGCTGCCGGAGGG